TCGTGATCGAAAAGCATACATTAATAAGCTATTCTAATTTTAGAGTTAGAAATATAAATGTTGTTTTTTGCAGTGTTATTCCGCCGTGCTTGCAAATAATAAGAAAACGAAACAATGTTATCGCTTTATGAATTGCAAAGTGTATAGTTTAAATACCCATTTTATGTGCTTTGAAATATCAAAAACGATGTTAGATTCCACTTAATCGCGATATTCGTTTTGTTACCATGCAATGAAACTGAATTTCATTGTCTCTAAATTTGTGTTATTCTTGCCACTATGCCGCCTGAAATAAATAAGTATTTAAAAAAAAAAAAAGACCGCGCCTAGGATGCCCGAAATTGTGGTGTATCAGTTCAAGATGACCTCAGTTTCAACCATTTTTATTCCGATTGCATCATGTTACGTAAAATTCAGCTTACCGCTCATTTGACCGCAAGCTGAGCAGCCGCCGAGATTGTGGGCATTCGCGTCTTATCATTGGTAACTGCTGATTTCCTTTAATTCCTCTGGGCTAATTCTTACTTAAAATCTAGGCTAATTTTTTAAACCTGTGATCTGTGTCTGGAGTAGCTTCTTTTTGTGATCTAAAAGAGTTAAAACTTACGAAAGGTATTTGCGCATTGATTGGCATGAATAGTTATTTAGTTATGTTTTATTTACATGCATGTAATTTATTTTCCTTCCCTTTCTGTGTCATTTTTTCCCCCTTTCTTTTTTACCCTCAAAGGGCTATTAGTCTGGAAATGCGATTTTGCATTGTTTCACTTTAAATGTGTAAGATAGTTTACCTCCCGCCTATCTCTCTCTCTCTCTCTTTTTTAAATCTTTTATGATGAACAAACTACATTATTCAAAAGTAAATAAATGCAGTTCTTAATATAATATTTTTTGATTTTTGAATCGGATTATTTTTATAGAATTGCTTTATATATTTTTAAACTGTTCAAATATGCAGAAGATACAGAAAGTTCCCATGTTACTTGCAATGTATATTTGTCTAGTATCCTGTAAAAATAGTTCGCTCTTTCACATGGGCCATCTCTATGGGTAATCTCGACCGATAAACCATATTAAACTTTAAAAGAGCCCTTTTGGACCACCAATATAATCTGAACCAGTTCGGATTTATTTATTTATTTTCGATGCATATTAGCATTCAGAAGTTTGTCATTGAATTTATAACTACTTTTGTGAGTTGTAAATTTTATACCAACTTTTATGTAATTTATGGCATTATATAAATGTCGTGTTTCTTCATATGTTAGATTATATTTATTTATATAACGTACATGTAACTCAATGATATATTTAATTTTAATTTATGTTTCCATTCTTTTAAAATGGCTATTGATTAAGTAAAAGACTTAACTCTTCTGATAATTTTGAACTTTCATGTTGCTGATAAACTGAATAAGGCAGTTTTGTTTTAATGATGTGTTTTTAGCTGGTGTAGCGATTGTTAGACTAAGTTCGAAGAGATTCGTCTAATTTACTGATCTGTTATTATTGTTTATCTAATTAAATTAAATATATTTATGATGCACAGAATTTTTTTTAGGGCATTGGTCTCGAAACACGATTTAGCAGTGTTTCACTTTTCATTCGAGTGTCGCCCAGTGGTTAGGGGAGCCTAGTGTGGTACCGAAGGGTTCGAATCCCGGAGAAAGCATGGTTGTAACCAAAGAATACGTATTCTTTGGTTACAACCATGTCTTCTTCTCCTTCATTCTACGTAGACTTTCTTTGGTTGTAACTGTTCTTTCCTTCAAAAGAGGCAACGGTAGCCGCCTATTAGGTGCTTCCCAAATAAAAATAATTATAATAAAATAAAATAAAATAAAATAAAATAAAATAAAAAAAAAAAAAAAAAAAAAAAAAAACTTTTCATTTGAGTCGGCAAACTGCACGAATATAATCTTTCAGATCGACTGTATCTCTTACGTATTAACAAACTCTTGAGTTATTTAAAGGCAACAGAGATGTAAGAGAAATATTTCGTAAGAATATTTTTTTAATTTTTAATCCGTTATATTTCAGTAAAAGTGCCGTTGAATGCAGGATATAATCTAATTAAAAGCTTTTAATATTTTCATAGAACGACGATCTATATTTTTTCAATTTTTAAATAGACAGAAGATGGAGAATGTTCTCATGTTAGTCTCAACGTATATTTGTTTTTAGTAACCTCTAAAATGTATCGCTATTCCACATGGGCCAGCTCAGTCGATACTGATAACCATTATTAAACCTCGAATGAGCCCTTGTGGGCAACCCTAAAAATCCGAATCGCCTTACCTTTCTCTGTATAGCAATAATGTTACTTACATTACTTATGTATAGACAGCAATAATGCGAATTATTTCTAATACATGAAAGGGAGCATATTCACTAATTCATTATTTCATGTTCGGCTAATTCATAATTTTTCTTAGAAATAGAGAATAATAATTTTTAAAAGGAGTTATTATTGAACAGAATTTCTTAAAGTTATCAAAAGGTAATGGCTTAGTCTGCACTACATTTCGTTATTTTCAAACAATTGTCTAGCTCTCAATATAGATTGTGATTGTTAAAATATATCGAAGTATAATATCTGTGAAGTTTTTCTTTTCTGGAGCTTCGACGTTATGTTATATTATCGAGGCATTTATCATCCATACAAACAAAGATAGAATTGGAATTCGGCACTGAGACTCAGATTTTGGACTTTGTATGTTATTTCTTATATTTGTTTTTTCTGGCCAGTCCCACTTTTTGATCATACGGCCGGCTTGTGTCGGCTAAGAGGACCGGGGCTGTATGCCCTTATGAGGATAATGATGATGAGATCTGGCGAGTGAAGACCTCGACAGCGCGAAGCAAATTGCCACTTGAGTGCTAATTAATATCCCTTGTTAATGACAATTGCGAAAGAAACTGAACAATTTTAATGAATAAGGGCATTAATTAATAAATGTCTTTATATATTAATGTTTCACTAATGTATTTAACCGTCGAAATTTATAACATACTTAGCTTGATAATTTATGGTATCTCTTATAGTATATCTCAGTGTTAATTTTTTGAGAATATTTGAAGCAATATTTTAATTAATTAAAAGGTGTTTCTAGCAGCATATACACGCATCTGGTGGAGGAATGTTTGTTTTTTTAGCAGTAGCATCAAATTTATTTAAGTTTTAAAATTATTACTTTTATAATATTACTTATTAATTAGATGAAACTGACTGCCTTACCATTATGCTTGGATTTGAAGTGGAAGTTTGTGATTTTATAATGCATTTTAAGACAGGAGAACTTAAAGTCGGTCTATCTAAAAGTCGTTTTGAGAAGTTAGTGATAGGGTAAAGCGAAGTATCAAACCCTGGCGTTCTCCGAAATATATTCGTTCAAAATTAAGTGGAAGGTTAGATATATAATGTATACACAGCTAGTGTGTAAGGTCGATTTTAAATATATGTTATATGCATGTATTATATACGGTAGGTAGATACACATTTTTGGAGTTGGTGAAGTAATCTATGAAGTTTGCGTATGATGTCGAGGTTTCTTGATTAAAAGTCTAACTTGCAAATTCTTTCAAAGATGCGTCAGTTTTTATTTATTTATTTATTTCCTGTTAAGATATCGCCGTTTCCGGTGTATAAAATGCTCAAGCCGGAGATACTAAAAACGGAAGTAGCATTTTAAAACATATATTTTAGATGTAAAAATATTTCGCTGTTCGACGTTTGGGAAATACTACTACTCTAACCGCCGTTCTAAATGTGAATATAAATAAATGATTGATTATCGCTGTGATAAGTTGTAACTTCGTTTTATTGATATAGTGGTTGATTCGGATTAATTCCCTTCACATAAACCCCGTGATTCCTAGAGGTGGGAAGATAAGAATGTTATCCTTGGAGAATTTAGTGCCTTTTGATTTCTAGGATACAGGATTGTAAGGTTATTTGCAACTTTTATTATATTTTTTTAAGTTTTAGAAATGTCTGTATTTAGTTTACATTTTTTATCGATCTTAATAAGTTAGTCTACATTTCTAATAATAATAACTGCATTAATAATAATAATTATAATAATGAATTATTAAAGTAATTATTATTTATAATAATAATTAGTAATACAAATAATTTAATAATCAGTTAACCATCGATGCGATTTGCCAAATTCCCATTTTAAGCTGCCGTCGAAGATCTTTGCTGGCAAATTGCCAGTTTTGGATGCAGAAATGTTTAAAATATCTTCCAAATTATAAAAGTAGTATTTTGAATGTTTTGTGTCAAACTGAACGATTTAAATGCGATATGCATTATCATAATAACAATTTTTATCTGTATATCTGTTTCACGCAGTTTATAATAGATTTAGTTCATAACATTCACAGCATTAAATCTGTTTCTTCTAATGCCATGTATGTTACATTTGTGGCATGCATAGATAATGCCAAGTATTGTGTTTGAGGTAACAGTTTTTAACATTGTATCAACCATATTGTATAATTAAGTGAGTAGATTTTTTAAAGTGGTTTAGTGTGTTAAAAAAAAAAAAAAAAAAAAAAAAAAAATGGAGAGATTTTTATAAAGTCGCTTATAGTGTATTACAGGCTTTCTCAAACTATGATTGTACCATTAATGGTTCATTACATTATTTTTGATGGTGTAATTTTGACACAAAAGATTTAAATAAATCTAAAATGGCACCCCTTTTTTGGTATGCAAATTGTTGATTCTTATTTATGTGGTACATGATTTAAAAAAATTGAGAACCCCCTTGTGTATTAAGTTATTAAATTAAAGTGTTAATATTTAAAATCTAGAAATAAGAACATTAATATGCCTTTTTAAAAAATGAAAGCCTTGAAAGAAATGTTTTATTTTATATAAAATTTAAAAATGGATTTGATTAAATGATGACCAAAAAATTTGTGAATTTTAAAGACTTTTTTTTTTTCCCCCTTTCCTATAATTTGTCTCATACTTTCATTTTTTCCCCCAGTGTTCTCTAAAGGTCAGTGTGAAACTGGATATTACCGTTTCCTTTCGAAGTATGGGGGTTACGTATGGTTAGTCACTCAAGCTACAGTCATCTACGAAAACGGCACAAAGCCAGAATGTGTAGTTTGTCTTAATTATGTTTTGAGGTAAGTTTGCTAAAACTGTTCCTGCTCTTAAATTTTCAGTAGTTTTTATTTTAATTCTCTTTTCTTAAATTATATAGAGTTAAGTGGTATTTAATAAAAAGTATACTTCCTTAAAAATTGACACTGTATTTGTTGTTACTGTCCAGAATTAATTCAATAACTGAAATTATATAAGAATTAATTTTTTTTAATATTTTTTTTTGTTAACTTATTAATTAAGAAGGGGATGAAATTATTAACTTTTCAGTGGATATTAATTTAAAATAAACACTCAACCTAATGACTAACACACACAGTTATTATCTTAGTTTGTAAACACATAAACAAATTAAATTAAAATCTGTATTACATTTATTAAGTAACTTCAGTATTTAGTAAACAACTGAAATTTCAATATAAACTAAGATGGTGATTTGCAATCTCAAAAAAAAAAAAAAAAATATTGCAAATATGAAATATTTACAAAGCAAGATTCTAATGGAAAGCTTTGAGCCTGGTTGATGTATTATACATACCAACTCAATCACTCATCAACAATACAACTTTTATCTAATTTTTGGCCTGTCTTCCTTGGATTTAGGCAGAAGTTAGTACTCAAACAGTAACCACTCTAGTAGGCCACAGATTAAATTCTCTAAAAATGCTTTTAAAATAAATTATAGGAATATGTATTTTAAATCAAGCATTCTGAGGCTTGCATATATTTTTGGGTTCAATGCAGCACATATTTTTGAAATTGCATAAAAGTCTAAACAGATTGCTGAAACATTTATTTATTCAGATTTTTCACTAGACATGACTTTTTCCAGAAATGGTTTATTTTAATTACATCATAAAATTCACAACAAGAAAATTCTAAATTAATTTTAATATTTATCAGATATTTACTGAATTTCTACCCCCTATCTGCAGACAAAATGTACCCTGTAATTGAAAAAACTCTCTCAACTGGAGCAAATGCCCCGGGCAAGACATCACAAAGTCAGGCATTTTAGAAATATTGCAACATGAAATATCAGTTTTTTGAAACACCTAAAAAATTGCTTTCTGTTTCTCTTCAGTATATCTGTTACATCAGAACCTGAACCACCCAAATTAGACCATGTAATTTCAGTTCGTAAATTCATCCACTGAAACTTACTTTCTCAAAACTGGTTCTCCATAACCCTAAGTATTGGATATTAGGATTATAAAAATTGTCTATGCTTGAAAAAATTTTTATTCCTGAACATCATTATTTTCTTTTAGAGTGCATAGTAATTCTTTGGCAGAAGATGGTATAAATTTATGGGTTTTTCTTTTCTGAAGTTGACAAATTAATTCAGAATATGTTTGAAATGCTTGTGTTGTATTGATAGAATTAGTTCCCAGTTCTAGAACTACATTCTTTAATAACTGTAAAGTAATAATATAATGTTCTAATTAAGTTATGTGTCCTTGGCAACTAGAACCTTGGAAAAAACTCTAATGACTATTCGCTGGTCTTCTTACAACTATAAAGACAACATCCAAAGAAGGGTCAAAATACCCTTTTATTCACTCAAACAAATATTTGATGGTTGCCTCTCTGGCTCACATGAAAGCCTTCACTTTTGCTTTACCTTGATAGAAAATAATGAACTAAACTAATTCTAACTAACTAAAATTTAGCTGAAGCTGTACAGAAATAATGTATCGAATTGGCCCATAATTAAATCTCACCAGCGAATACTAATAGGCATATAAGACTATGGTTGAATTTAGTAAGATAGGCTTAAAGCAATGACGTGGCCCGAAAGCAGAACATGCTATAATGAGAACTTTTGAGCTATTCCTCAGAAGTGACTGAACTTCCCATTAAATATTGGTTCTACCTCATATACATCAAACGTGATACTGAAAAATCATTCTGGCAGAGAGATGTAGGTGAGAAACAAGAATTTAAAGAAAAGGGTTTCAAAATTAAAAATAGCTATAAGAAAATTTAAATAATCCCTACAGTTCCATATAAATATTTCAAAAAACAGTGCACTGTCTAGATTTAAAAAAAACTCAAATAATAATTTTAGGCATTTGTCTTAAGATAAGAAGTATGATTAAGCCATAAAAAATGGAAAGAATTCTGGATACTTCCATATTATATTGTAACAGCCTCCAAGATTGAATTGCTAATCAACCAAAATGTCTCACCAGCTCATGAAGCGCAAAGATAATGTTACGAATTTTGTATATAGATAGATAACTTTAGTGAAATTATATGCAAAATTGTTGTACTTTTTGTGTAGTATAACACAAAAAGCTGAGAGAAACGATGCTGTACCAGAAAAATAAAAATACAGGGGCAAATCTATTGAGCATTGAATAAATGGCTGTCTCACTAATTTGGTGAGAGATCACCAAAAGTCACCAAGCTTGGCGACATTTTGGTCCAGTCCCTGTGTAACTGTAATGGATATTGTAATTGAACAATTGTAACTGATGCTGTCTGTAACTGTTACCATATTCAGCCCTCGTATGCTACTAGAAATTTCTTGGTGGCTGGGGAAAAACTGTGTAAGACTGGAGAGAGCATCAGTTTCTCAGTTGTTAGTTGTAAGTTCAGAGTGACTTTGGAGTACTGAGGTATCCGTGAGAGCTTTGCCTTTTAGATGCACTTTGAATTCTGTTGTGTTTAATGTTCTTTGTAGTGTGCAGGGTTTACGTGTAAATTACACAAGCTATAAATTAGGTCCCACTACCCTCCCCCAAATTTAAATATTGTATAAATATAGTTTTTAACAGACTTATAAAAGGCCCATATCGTAAATAGCTTAGGTCCTTATCAAGTATAAATCCGGCTCTGCTTAGTAGTTTGAAGTGTAACTACTGGTTGTGCTCTGTGATACTGTGAAGAGCTGTATGAGTATTTTTATGGAAAATTCTAGAACTGTGAAGTGGTTCTTTGGATCAAGTAAATTTTATCAAGCTATCATCAGTTCCGTGTCCATTCAGTCTATTATGACGCATGCAACAATAAAAACAAAATATACAATAATAACAATTATACTCGCATGTTGTTTTTTAATAATCATTACGAAAAGGCCATATTTCCAAAACTGCTTTCGACAGTTAATCAAAAATATCACTTTTTTCTACATATTTATCACATAAATTCCAAAAGATGTAATTTGAGGCGATGTCGAGCCATGCGCCATTATTTTTTATTATGGCGCTTGTCTAAATCGCACATTTTTTCAACATTTTAGGTGTGAACCCCTATTGTTGGATCTACAAAATTGTATTCGCGTTTCACAGTAAAGTGACCGTAACCAGCTTTTTCATGTTGCTCTGTTTTATTTCTTATTCAGCATTCTGAATGGATCATTTATTCATCTTGTATATGTTGAAACATTTTCTTCATAAGTGTACTTATAATATTGCAATCACAAAATCTAAATTCAAATTGTTATTGATCTGCAAAACTGCACTCATAGTTCACATTAAAGTGACTGTAACCATCTTTTTCATGTTGCTCCGTTTTATCTCCCTTCCAGTGTTCTGAATAGATCTTTTATTCATCTTGTACATTTTGAATAATTTTCTTCATAAGTGTGCTATCATCTGTATTTGAGATTTGAATGATTCACCATCTTCCTAGCATTTTCCCTCCAAACATCCATTGTTGTTCACATGAACATATTTCCATCGATTTCATAGGGAAGACACTTTCCACATGTAATTGTTCCAATCATTTGCAGCATTTTCATACATATTAAGTTGTTTGTCACAGCATTTGATGGATATCACAGCATTTGATGGATCCTCTGCCCAAGAATACATAAATCTAATAGCAGTGACAAATGATATTTTTGAACCACTGAACCAGTTTCCAACATGGAGGCCCTTCTTTCTTTTATAATTTTTAACACAGCACCTCCAAAATGTTTTATCATTTACATATAATTTCCTGATGTTTTAAAATTGAGTTCATGTGTAACAGGGTGGTATGAAAATGCAGCTTCTTTAGCAGCACGCTCCAGATCACTGAGTCTTTAACTTTAAAAAATCAGTACTTTTCTGTTTCGCTGGTGCAAATATCGCCAAGCAGACTTTATTGGCGACAACATACAATATACACATAAAAAAATTTTAACAAATGTTCATTCTAAGAATTTTGTATTTTAAAAGCATAAACATTTTAATATCATTTAAAATTTTGTAAAAATCCAATAAATAAAGACAAAAAATTTGTAAAAAAAAATTAATTTAAGAATTTACAATGCTTTCATGGTTCAACATCCTGATTCGCCGGTTCGTATCACATGACCCCCAAGTGATCTCATCTCACGTAAACTACGCTTCAAAAGTCTAGTTCTCAGTAAGTATCTACATAAATTTCAAGTTAAATCTTAATTTGGAATACAAGTTTAAATGCAAGAATTATTTCAATTTGTAGGAAAAGCTTACTCAGAAATTATGTAAAACCGCAGTGCTTTACTTCGCTAGTGCATTCTTATTAGGATTGATGGGTTTAACCCTTGACTTTTCTATATTTTTGCCTTCGGGTGAGTGTTGTGATTGCATCCTAATTGACGTAATTACTGTGAATGGCCTTAAGGTATAAAATTGGACTATCTGGTAAAAATTCTATGTAATTGTATGCCAGTATGGAAAGAAACAATCAATCTGATAAGAAATGGCTGCTACTTGTTTTGAAAATGAGGCGTAAAAGGTTACCAGCGAGGATATTCCGTTTGGCATCAGCTGTACTATTATTGGCGACTTTATCGCTTGCGCCGGCAAAACGGAAAAGTACCAAAAAATCTTTTATGTTTGAAACAGTAGCATTAATATTACTCTTATGTTTAGTTGTTTTCACTTTGTCTTCAGTAACACCTTTTCCTTTATGTGCAACAGAAAATTCTCCAGTACGTAGTGTGCAATAAACACATTCATTGTTACTGTCATTACTTAATTTCAGAAATTTGTTTTCCTGTTGCAGGCTAACATTAAACACACATTTTCTTTTGCCCATTGCTAAATGATGAGATAAAAAATTAATAGTGATAAAATGATAAAAAAATGTGCAGACGAGTTACTTCACATGCAAAAACAACGTAAACACATTATCCACTTGTCTTGACAAATGATTAAGTAAAATGTCATGGCAAGACTGGTAGCCACACCTCCATCAAAATCGATATCACTGCTTACTGCAGGTTTGGCTGAGAGATGCACATCTGTAAGAGAATGTTTAAAAATGTGATGTCAAACATATGGGTCTAAAATTAAAATTTAAAAAAAAGTCCTGGGCAATCATAAAATTCTCAAAGTCTGGATATGACACCAGACAGCACTAAAAAAAAACTGTCTAGACTAATCCCTGATGTATGGTAGCACTCCCAACCCCTCTTTTTTATGTATTTATTTCATAATCAATGAGATCTTTATTATGTAGATCAATAGGCCGTGCATATTCGGTTATCAACCACTGAATCATCATCGACACCCTTTAAAATTTCATCGACCCCCAGAGATTCATAACATCTTCATTGGTAATCTCTGTTTTAAACTTTGCAGAATCCTTTTAAATTTTGGTCGGAATAAAATATCTAACATGAGTAGGTTACCAGAAGTGTACAGAGCTGTTCAAGCAGTCCAGGATTTCTGATTACATCCATGGCTGTATATGAGATTTTTAAATGAAAATAATTATCTGTCTAGTTAATCAGTATCATTGCTGAATCCTATCCTAGGAAGACTATTTTCAACATCTTATTCCCAGAAAGGTATCAATTACAAATGTCAACAGCAAAGGAACTTTTGAACTTGAAATTGAATTCCAAATGTTTTTTAAGAACATGAAATCCTACAGGGAGTTTCTGAAGGAAATTGTATCTAATGAAAAATGTTCAAGTAGTAGATCAGAAACAAAATCCCTGTAAACCTCACCATCTTCAGAAAAGATGTGCTGCAAAACGTATGCAGTTTATTTTTCAATACCTTGGAATATTTTGTTGTCTTTACTGCAGAATTTCATTTTACCTTCCTTTATACCAACTTGTATAGAGTGTTCTAAGCTTTTGTATTACTGAAATTAATTTTTCATAAAACAGGATTCGTATGACCTTAAGTTTTTTTTTAAATAGATTTTTGGTCCTTAAAAGCCCTTAATTTTGATGAAAATAGGCATAAGTCTAATGGTTCCTTCTTTTAGCATACTTTTGTTTGCAGTTTTATGGCTTCGTATATACACCCTTATGAAAAGATTTTATAGAAGCTGTATTGCTGTTAATTATTGTATTGTATATGTACCCTGGATAAAAGAAATAGTTTCTTAATTTTAATTGACTGTTATTTAAAAGATATTTTTTATTTAAATATTTTTAAACCAAAACAATATTTAATTTTTTTATTTAGGAAAAAATTGCATATGAAAGTTTTTTATTCATTCTACTCCTTTCATGTAACATATCATTTCAAAATTAAGATGAGGTTAAAGAATTCTATTCAAAAAGAAAAATGAATTCATCTTTCATCTTTTCTTAATCTTAAAAGAATTTAATCCTAAAATCTTGTTAAAAATTCAATAGCTTCTATAAGATTTTTGTTTATAAAAAGAATAAAGCAAGAAAAGCTGCTTAGAATTCTTGAGAGTTTTAAAAATTTACAGAAATTCTGATTTGTAGAATTTATAAGAAATCCAATCTTTTATAAACTGGGTATGATATTTTTAGTAAATTCAATTAGTTGACTGAAAATACATTGTATAAGCTTATATATGTGGAACCTTTATAAATTCTGTGCAGTTGTTTTATAGAATCTCTGCACAAATCCTTATAGAATATTCTCACACATCTCTATAGAACCTTTAACATAACGTAAGCTGTATTTTGTAGAATTTTATCGAAACTTAAAAGGTCTTTCACCTAATTTATGGAAAATTGGGCCATAATTCTAAAGGATTCTAAGGACAAAATAACCTAATTTTGTTTGTTTTTCTGGTTGCAGCAAAGTTGAGAATGGGCATGAAATAGTATCTGGACAGCAAGAACAGAGCATCAAAGAGAAGGAGGAAGCAGAGGACGAAAACATTTGTGTGGCTGAGGAAGAAGGTTCGCCTTCTGAACCCCCCGTTTTGCTTTCCAGTACCAGAGTGATATTTGCTCCTAAAGAATCAGTTATGAGCAAAGACTTCTTGAATTTTCCTGATGCAGGTAATTGTATATTCGACACTGATATAAATTTACAGAATTATAATATCACTGTTTTAAATTTAAGGAATTTCTGATTTGTTTAATTTATGCAGTAGCATTACCAGTGCTGACACATCATGTGATAAAATTTGAAACTGCTCAGTGACATAATTTAAGATTGGCAGAAATTGCATCGGGTGGCAGAAAGCCTAGTACTGACCTTACCTATAGTATTTGTATCTTGCTGTAACTTTGCTGATTCAAAGAATATCACACATTTTCTTCTGTCTTCTGGAGATTATACTGAACTTGGCAGAAATATTTCAAAGATTGTTTCATTCATTTTTAAATGCAAATTATAAAAGCAGGTTCTATCAATTCTCTTTCTGAGCAACTAACTTAATAGCAACTCTTTAACAACATAGTCTGTGTTAGCTACTTTATGCAAGTGAAGTTCTTTTTATATGCATGATTTTTTAATTATTAAATACAAAGTAATGTTTTTAGCCATGCAATAAAATACAATAAATTAAAAAATAAAAATCCTCTTGTTTTCAACGTTACAATAGTATTTGAGCAGCTAAACCTGCAAAACTTTAGGTAGTTCAGCATATTAAAATTAGGCAAATCAGAGGACCTTATTTTGATACAGAATTTGGATAAAACTCTTATCGGTGTCTAAAGCATTGGCATTGGTTCTGCTTCTTCAGGAGGGGAAGAGGAAGCCAAGAAGATAAACAAAAGAAACTGGGAGAAATTTCTTGAATATTTTTGTGTACGAAAAAATTTTAAATATCATTTTGATTTCAAAAATATATAAATAAAATAAATACATTTTAAATAATAGTTAATTTAATTAAAATCATCATGAAAAAATCACATACGAAAAAATTTCAATATCATTTTGGTTTCAAAAAATATTTAAATAAAATAAATACATTTTAAATAATAGTTAATTTAATTAAAATTAAGAAAACCATTTTTATTATCGGAAGTTTATGTGTACAATAACTAAAAGCATTCATTATCAGAAACTAAAATTTTATAATTAATGGCATAAACTAAATCTTTTAATAAATTTTATGATTTAAATTGATCTTGAGCTTTTACAAGATTTAATGTTTGTGTTCTATAAACAATATTGTGCAAAAACATTGCACAAAATGTTACATAAATTTAGAAGATAAAAAGCATCAAGCTGTAGCAGCAATTTCCAACCTTCTTCTTGCATTGACTCTTTTTAAAGGTATGTTTTTTTAATTGATCCACGTACATTTTTCTCTGTAATATACAGTACACAACATAATCATACCATAAATAATTGAACAAAAATAAGTAAAGGATAACAATTAAGAACATGAGCAAAGAAAACCACAGATTCTAATGGCACCAAAGTTCGATTTTGATCAATGTGTTGACTGTGCTTCATACATAAAGGAATTTCTTAAAAAAATATTTGGCATAAAATTGTTTGATTTAATTGATTCTTGTTTTGCATCCTCTGTACTTTTTTTTAATTGTGCTTTTGCATTTTACTTTTTTATATTGCACTTATTGCATAAAAAACTTATATATTTAAAAAAATATTATTGATTTCTAAACTGTATTAACTAATTTTAGAATAGTTTTCACTTATATTTATTTTATGTGATTTCTTCCTTGGTACATGATACAATTTTATATCAAGAAACAATTAATTACCAATTTTATTAATATTTTTTTTTTCATAATCAATGGGATCTTGAATATGTTGATCCATTCCTGATGCATATTCATCTCTCAACCCCATTGAGAATTCCTGAGCTAGAGTAAAGAGAGCAGAATTGACCATTCAAAGTGATCCAACTTTTATGAATAAAATTTGTCTCTTCTTGCTTTTTTCACTATTGCATATAATACAAAAAAGCTCCTTTGATTACAGTTTGAAAATCTCTGCAGATTTCTATAAAATACCTTCATATAAAGGTTTTATAAAATTTATATATAATTTTGCAAAGCCACTTTTCTGTTCAGTTGTGTCCTGTAAAATATTTTTTAGAATTTTGTAGAGAAGAATTTCTGGATTACTTATTAAATTCAATAGGAATTTCTATAGAACTTTATCAGCCTCTGTAAAAATTTTTTGTTGGGGTAAATCCAAATCATTTAAATAACTTACTAAACAGCCATTAAACAATAGTTTAAATCAGAACTGTTTTCAAGTTTCTTTGTTTTAGGTAGTAGGTATGTCATGTAATTTGCATATAATTGCAATGAGTATGTCATGGAGTGTTTTGTTTCTGCAGATCTCCAAGATTTGGATCTGGAACCTCCACTTGAAAAGATTCCATGTTCAGTTGTTAATTCTGCCACACTAAATCAAAGTAAATGAAAATTAATTCTAATTGATAAATCTGTAAATATATGTGTATAAGTCAGGGCCGGTTTAGGCATCCTGAAACACGCTGGCAGCTGCTCTCATACGTAAATATGAATAAAAATAGGCTGAACTTTTCACTAAAGTAATATTTTTATTAATTTTTTTGGAATCTTACATGCACTAAATCAAAAATTATGAAGCAAGCTGATCATGCTATAGAAAGTGTGCATTTTAGAATGAGAATCCATTGGGGGTCCCATCTCCCAACCTGTGAAGAGCCCCAAAATTCCTTAAACCGGCCCTGGAATAAGTTGGTTTATAAGCTTCCATATTGGATTGCCTCTCTGTTTGTCTCTAATGTAGAAAGAAATCTGCAAAAATGTAAGATATTTACAGTATATCTTGCTTTAATAGCATGCAGGGTGTTTGAAAGAATATGACATTCTTAAAAAATATGAACAGAAATATATAGCTTTACAGTCTGTAAAGACTTTATAAAATTTTTATATAATTTTGAAAAGCAATATTTCTATAGAATAATGTTCTGCAAAATCTTTATAAAATTCCTATAGAATTTTATAAAAAAGCATTTATATAGAGGTTTACCCTTAAAGTTCTTAATTTCTTAGAGCTCTTATCTTCCTGTATAAAATAATTTTCATAAGGGACTTGTTCTAGTGCCCAAGAAGTCTCTTATTTGCAGAATAATAATTATCTTTTACAAATCTTGAATGAGTCTGAACCTTCTTTAGTCAAACATTTAATGTTGATTTGCTGCACAACACTGTTATGAAACTTCTACAAATTATGGTAATTTGTAGAAGAATTATGGTAATTTGTAATTAAAGTTATGGAATGAGAAACTACTGTTAACAACTTCAAACAGGTAATAGATGTGTGTTCAATGCTTATGATTGTGTTGAACATTTTACTTTACAAGAACAGAGCATAAAAATTTCTGTTTGAATGCCTTTAATTAATAAATTAAATTATATTATATATTTTATATGCTATGGTTCACATTCTTTTTGTAAATATTCTGTGTTTTCAATTTTATTAGCAAATATAATTTAATAAATAGTACCACCAAATGACTCTTATTTTTCTTGCTGTTATACTTGTGATCATATTTTTAAAAATATGCTTATTATTTTGAAAAAAAAAAAAAAGGTTATTCAAAATAATTTTGGTAAAATGTTATAGTTTATAAAAAATTATTCAAAAAATGAGCTGTTCTAAGTATTTGGGCACTTTGAACAAAGTTTATAATGAATAAAAACATGAAAGTAATGAGGCATTCAATATTTCATTGGATTTATTTTTGCTAAAATTAAACTTTTCATACACTTTGGCATGGGTTCAGCAAATGTTTTCCCATAAGAATATTCCATTCCTTCATAAGAATTGCTTCTAATGGTACTTTAATGGAGAGAGAGGAAAGAATGGAAATATCATATTTCCTTATTCTTTCCTCTCTCTCCGTGCATGCTCAATAAGATTTAAGTCCAGAAAACATGGAGGAATTTTGGTAATTTTCAGCTAATTATATAATAACCACTAGCAAATATTTAGGGCTGTAGATTTAGGAACGCTATCCTGATAAAACTTGAATCTATTGTGCTGTCGAAGTTTTCTTACATATCCTTTCAAGTTTTCATTTAAGAATATATATGTATTTATATTGATCGATATTATCTTCTATAACTGAGGTAGGCCTGATTAAATATGTTAAATTTTGACTCGTGCAAATATAACATTCTTCGAATATGATAAATATGTTAAATTTTGACTCGTGCAAATATAACATTCTTCGAGTATGATAAATATTTGCTTACTGTGAATTTTGTGAATGCCAGGTGTATTTTCCTTGTTGGCAAAGAATTTCTTTGTTGCTGATTGCTCATTGTATCTAATGTGTCCTAATGTTCTAATAGTTAAAGTGTTAAATTTTAGTGCAAATCGTTCTTTTAAACTCACTGAAAGCTTCTGAATAGTAATTTTTCAGTTTTGTTTAATTTTTTCTAGTATGAATCTCCAGTTTCTTTTTATAAGCTTGGAATGTGTTCCAGACTTCAGTGCATTCAACAGTTCTATATAATTTTCATCGCTTTATAGCATCAAAAATAATCGAGCACATAATTATATTTTTGGATATTTCCAATACTTTTTTATCTCTAAAATGATGAATAATTAATTTTCTAACAGAAATAGTTAATTTGTAGTGCCTTGCCACATTCAAATCAGATTTGGAACTGTTAATACATTTTGCTAAGCAAGTCATATTTTCCAAACGCAGAGGATAATTCTTATGATGTTTTCTCATGTACTTGTTATTAATGAGAAAGAACCCTAATTTTTAATGAATTTAGTGTTTGTAATGTACTTATAATTTCGTTTTAATAGATACCTTATTTATTTAATAAAATGTGAGCAGCTTATTCTGAGTTTGGAACATAAATGCAGTTATTGTAGATTAATTTATTGTCTGAAATAAGAGGATTGCAAAAACTGGCTCTTTGTTCTCAACTATTGTGGTTACTGGAATGGAAGGAAAGATATCTTATCTGAATGTTTCTCTCCCCTCTGTTCCCAAATGAAGATTTTAGCTGTCAGTGTTGAATAAATATTAGGTTTCATTTCTTAGTTGTTTACTTCATTGCAATGAATTGCTCAGCTTGCCACACTTTGCTATAGTGACACAGTTTTCACCTCCCCCACCGATCTATATACATAAGTAAGTGAGGTAATGTTTTCAATTCAATAGTGAGTAACTGAAAAGTGAGTTCAATTCAATAGTGAGTTTCTAGTGAATAAGCTTGAATAGGGATCCCTATGACGCATATTGCTTATTTTTGTAATGATGTCTGTGTATATGTGTGACAACTTTTTTGACCGTAACGTATGTCAAATTTCCGAAACGTTTCATTTTCTGTACTGAAACTTTCTTGCATTCATATAGAGAGTTGCTTAAATTTGGGTTTTCACCAACCATAAGAGGTATTTGAAGCCCATAACAATTCTGCAATAATCATATAACTTATTGTTGTATAAATAAAACATAGCATGTTGTTGCAGTTGAGTGAACGCTGTTGATTGATAAGGAAATATCAGGGGATATATGTGCAGATAAAAATTAATTAAGATTGGATTATACCACAGAAATACCATGGAAAAAATGAAATTATGGTATTTATTTTAAATATATTTTAAACACTTTATTTAATTAAAAATCATTTCAATTTCCGTATTTGACGGCATTTAAGACGCACCCTTATTTAGACGGCCACACACAAGGAAAAAAAGTTTCAATAGCATGGTTTCTTATAGTTCTCACGTTTCGTAAAAGCCAAATAAACAATTATTGAATGCAATTACCTTCACGTATAAGACGCAAGTAACTTTTTTGAGACCAAATTTAGGAAAAAAATTGTGTCTTATATGCCGTCAAATACGGTATATGTTATTCATCTGCTTAATAAAATAAAATTTTTTGAAAAAAAAAAGGGGGGGGTCAGACATTGGATTTTAAAAATACCAATTTTGATCCATGGCCAGTGATACCTAACAAATGTAATCTAAAATTTCACCTGACAGACCTTTCTGTTTAATGAAACTAGTTGCTTTAAAAAGAAAAAAATGTATAATGAGTTTAATCATTCCAGCTTGTGTAATTTCAGAAAAATATTAAATGGTTTTGATTAGACATCTCACGATTTAAATGCATTCTTATTTACGTTATTCAGATTGATAAGTAGAAAAAATATTTTTAACAACTGCATTTATTGTTTTTAAATCATATAGTTTCTTAAGCAATAACTAACAGATTAAATTTGAATGTTATATGCTATGATTTTCTGAGTGGCAACATGTTGGCTTGTGGTAGATAATAATAAAATGAAATTAATAAACTGAGAATAAAACTGAGACATAAAACTGAGAATGTCCAATTAAATATTATACATCATGTTATAAATAGTTCACTAAATTTAATTGTGCTTTTTTAAGTGAATTTAAATTAATTAGGAATTTTTTCAAAATTGTGTCACTGTGCTGCATGCTAGAGACACTGAAAATCTTCACAAAATATGCCATTTAGAGTCCTTTCTCACTGAATTTATGTGGTAGAAGGGCTGATAAATTGTTATGAAGCTTGGTGGCAATTCATGGTAACCTGAAGTTTCTCAATCAGAAATATGTCAAAAAATTAGTACTCTTTGGGTGAACTAATTATTTGCCCCATAATACAAAGTATAAGTACAAAAGTTTGAGGTTCTTCTATGGGTTGTTTCTGAAATGCAGTTAAACTGAAGAATCTAAAATTTACATGTATGTGAGGTGCATCACACACATGTAGTGGTAGATGCATAATATATTCTCCATGAATTTTCTTTAAAAAATCAGTTTTATTTCTACTTTTTTATAACTAGTTATGTCTGTTGGCTCATATATAGATTTTTGTTTTGTTTTACGTATGCAGTTTAAGGTACTAAAAATGATGTTTTTTTCTGTTCATTTCAGATGTACTTTTCCAAGAATCTTTAAAAGATACAAAACTGAATTTGGAGTTTGATTTTTTTCAAGATGATCCTTGCACCTTAGAGAATGGTATCTCGGAGGATCCATTTATTTCATACAGAGATGATTCCCTGTCCTCCCCCAGCTATTGTGGCACTCCAGAATCCTCTCTCAATCTGGTATGAATGAACTTATGATTGTAATCTGCACATCAGACGTCAAATTAACTGAACCATTAATTTGACGCCTTTGCTTTAAAGCATGAAGTGCGTTTATTTGGAAATATAAGTGATGTGACTATACAGTTTGCCCTAAAATTGTTTTCAAGCTATTTCTTCAATAGCACAGAAGTAGTAGCCATAGAATGTAGCTGAAAAACCACTTATACCATGTCATCATTATCTACAGCATATTTAATATTCTCACAGCATTCATTAAAGATTTCAGTTTCCATACACATTAAACAAAATTCATCTTTAAGACTTGAAATATGTACATCTCAACAGTCAAGACTGTTATTTCTACCTTTTTTGAAATTTCTCTTCTTGGACTCGATATTTATAGGTAACAACATGGGGACAAGGTGTGCTCCATCATTGCTTCCATGTCTCATCACCTCGTCAGTAAAAACTTGCCTGAAGATTTATGCACCTAAGTTTATTTATTTGACTAGTTGCATAAAATGATTTTTATGAAAAAGAGAAAAATATATAATGATTTTAAAGAATCTAAATTAGTAATTAATAATAGTAGAGGTAAAGAAATGTTTTTATTTGTTTTTAAATCATTTAGTTTTTTAATCCATAAGGGACAGATTACATTTGACAGATAAATTAAATATTGTATGTTTTGCTTGTCAATGAAAATTTCATTAAATTTGCACAAAACATAAAAGCAAATTTTTTAAAAATTTAAATTTAGGCTTCTAGGTGCTGATGTTCGGGTGGAGAACTGTGTATGTTCAAAATTTGGTGGCTGTAGGTACATTCATACATATTTGGATACAGATTCTTCATTACTTAAGAATAGAGATCTAAAAGTCATTGGCGTTTAATTGAAAATTGGGGCAAAAAAAGGGACTTTCCTAAGTAAAAATATTTAGCTGTTAAGGTGTAAACATACCTATATACATATAGCACTTAAACTTTATAGTTTACTCTAACCCCCTTCAAAAAAAAAAACTTTGCCTCATTTAAACAATAATTGGCATTTTCTTCAGAAAATTGATGCAAACTCAATTAAAATTTTTTTTTACAAAAGTCATTTTTGTGCTGTCCTTATGGAAATGTCTTTTAGAATTCTATAAAAAAAATTTCAATGATAAACTTCTTTAGAATCCTCTTAAGATTATAGCCCAATTTTCCATAAACTAGATCTTACACAATATGTATAGAACTCTAAATTTTTTCATGTAACTTCTATAAAGTTACGTATAGAAACGCTATATATATAGATATTCTATAGAGATTGTGCTGAGATTCTGTAAAAATTTGCACGCTATCTAAAACATTCCATATATATAATCTTATCTAATATATAGAGAATCAACGAACAGAATTTCCTCCAAAATATCAGATGTAGTTAATATGTAGTGTGTTTTTTAAGTAAGGGCTGTTTCATTTGTATACACTAATACTCATTGCACGGGCTGTAACAAATGCTTGTGTCGCATTCCAGCATTCTTTGTGAACAACTGTCCTCAATTGCAGCTGTGTAGGTAACCTGTACAGTCTGATCTGTGTCTTTAAAATGTTCAAGATTATCGAATCGCCCGCCCCATGTGAGGTATGGTCAATGATACTTTTTTTTTTTCCGTCAAAAAACCTGTCTACTGCAGACATTCACTGGCAGATTTGTGAAGTTTAGGGAGCTACTGACATGAGTGAAGTGCATAAGTGGGTCAGGGATTTCAAAGCTAGTCATGACAAAGTCCATGATGAGTCCCATTCCGGTTGCCTATCTATGATCACAGACAATATGGTGGCTTCAGTTGAAGCAAACATTCTTGAGAACAGACGCTTCACCATAAGCACTCTTTCAAACGAATTTCCTGAAGTGTCTAGTCTAGAATGTGAAAATAGCCGCGACATCTTGGTTATTGGAGCAGGCGGCAAGTTTCTATGACAAAGGTATTCAAAATCTAGTTCTAAGGTATGATAAGTATTTAAAACAAACTTTGCAACTATGTTGAAAAATAGAAATATATATAAAATCTGAAAATAAGTTTGATTTTAGAAATTTTTTTTCATTTGGTTTTTATTTTCAAATGGCCCTTACTACACCTCCTCGTAGGAAACTGGGACATTATTCTAAAGAATTATAGCCAAGTTTCCTTGCTTTAATTTTTTATAAAACACCTTATAGAAGATTTTGTGCATTTAATAAAAGCATTATAAAAATCAGAAAATTTTTCTTCTGGTACTAAAAAGGAGGAAATAAATTTTTATATTTAAATAGAATTTTTAACTTTGTTTAGATTTGGAAATGATCTATTATATGGAAGGGAAGGGAATAAAACTTTCAGAACAGATGTGATATTTTTCCTCATAAAAATTTGATTCTTTCTAATAAAAAATTTGTTATTATTTTGATTTTAAAATATGTTTAAAAAATAAATAAATTCTTTTTAATATTAGTCAAGTTCAACTAAAATTAAAGAACCGTTTCTCTTATGAGGGATTCATAATTAGCAGCATAAATTGAAGCTTTGAATAAATTTTATAATTTGAATTGATTTTTTACTTCCTTGTACAAAGTAAAGGGAATATTGTAATTACAAAAAACTTCAGATATCAGATTTCTATGAAATATCCATTTTGATTATTTTTTGTGTGATGTCTGTATGTACGGGTAGAATAAAGTACTCTTTTTTTCCAAAATGGAATTTTTGATAGTTTCTGTGTGTATATATGTATGCTTCTTGCATAACTTAAAAACAATTAACTGTGTAGAATGTTAAAAGATAAAAATATTCATGTTTTGGCAATGTCAATTTTTTAAAATTAATTTTGAACAAATAATGAAATTTGAGTACAGTCTCCCAGTTCCTATACTTATATTTGAGAAAGTTTTATACTTGTTATGAAAAAATATGATGAGGAAATATGTTTAAATGAAGTGCAGCAAAGTGCTTATTTGGGAATTCAGTTTACATTATTGCTTTGTATATATTATGGCCAAAGTCTGAAATCGGCCAGGAAGTGTACGGCCAAATCGGGAAATGGCCAAAGTTGCCACAAACTCAGATATATGGTGATCTAGAACTAGTTAAAAAGTCAAAAGTCTTTAATCCGGACTCGTCGGGACTTCGGCGATTCCAGATTATCGGTTTTTCCGGATTATAGATCATCAGTTTAAATCTGGTAAGATGGCATGCAGAAATTATAAAATTAAAAATATGAAACCGTAATTTATGAAATAAAGAGCAATTATGATCTAAAGAGTATCCAAATTTGCAAAAAAAAAAAAAAAAAAAAAAAAGCTTAATATTTATTTGTTTACTTTATTAAACATTTCTTTCAATGCGTACATGCGTAAAGCATACATTATGCATAGTCGAAATTAGAAAATTGCAACTAGAAAACTATTTGATGTGTATTCGTGATATTTATAATGACGAGGAAATTGATTTAAATTATATTGGAGTACATTGAGATGAAACACTACATTTAGGGAGGAATTGTAAGCCGAATAAAATAAAAACATTTGCCCTGAAGATGAGGATAGTGTGCTGACAGATCAACTTCCAGTTTATTGCGCGCCGCGATGGGAATATGCAAATTGAGTCTGTGACATCGAAAACTATGTGTTTTAGATAAGGAGTGAAAAGCAATCTACAACATTCCTTTTTTTGTAGTAGGAGATTAAAAACAATTGAATGTTTTGTAGCAGTAAATACGATGTCTCAGCAAGATGACTTAGTTGAATCGGTAGCCTGGAAGACCATTGGTCATTTACAGAAGAGTCAAATGCAATCCATTTTAGCAGAAGCAGTAGGAGTCAATAGTGCACCATAGTCCCAATCCATTGTAACATAGGTCCATCGTTCTGTCAGCAGAAGGTAGTCACAGGAGATGAGTGGAGAAATGTGGCTACGGACGAGTCCCACTTTAGTGTACTATCTGTCTATGAGAGAAACAGCTCTCGCCACAGTGTCTGGCGGTGGGTGGTGGCGCTATAGCAACAGAGCTAGTATATTTCAAATAGGGGCAAACTAAAGGTTGCCAGTTCATCTTTAAATGCACCAAGATGGCAAACTGAAGCATAAATCTTCAAGGCACCCTTCGGAAAATGGGATAAGGCTCGTTTCTATGGCAACAGACAGCTGCAGACTAACTGGCGACAGCTTTTCTTATGATAGACAGACTGTACAACCTCACAAACATTCAAAATAAAAATTGAAATTTTCCAGAAAATCTTGTTTGTCTTAGAGAGCATTTGACACCACCTCGATAGGCGCCCAGGGCATGATGGACCCCCTTGCCCCCTCTCACTATGCCACTGCAGCACGACCTTCTCTCAAGCATGGCACCCTCCTTTCTACCACATGCATGCCATCTCACCAGAAGCATCAGATGTGCCGCTTACTGGACAATCTTCCGTTACCACATCAAGCTTCGGCGGCCAGTTTGCGAAATGGCCAGCCAAACTGTAATATACAATATTAATTGCAAACAGTTTATTAATTTACATCAAACTTTGTCCACACCTCTCGTCCAAAATGCAAATTGGCTAGTCAGGTCGAGAACTGGCCGAACTTCGGTCTTTGGCCGTAACATTATGTAATTCATTTCCTTCATGAATGCTAATATGTTTCTTTCAAATAAAAATATTAATGTAAATCTTAAGCTATTGTTCACATGGTTGTTCAGTGAATTTTGTCTTGAAATTTGAATCTCTCTCCCAGCATACAAGCAACAGTACATCCCCGGATCGCTTCAACACAACACCTGGCACTCCAGACTCTGGCAGCCTGTCAGACATACCGAGCTTAGATCCCATCGACGAGTTTTCAAATTTAGATCTAAAGTTTACAATGCCTCCATCTGCATCTGACGATTCAGAGTGCTGTGATGTGAGTATGGAAAGACTTCTCACAATTTTATATCTTTTTTTAAAGCAGCAAAGTACTTCTTGAGTAGTAAAAAATGTCTGAAGTAAATTAACAATGATTTTGCACATTTTAGTTAGGCAGTTATTAATTACGAATGTTTATTACCAAAAACCCCATTGCTCTTTCTTTTCCATTCAGGAAAATATATTCGTATTTAAAACTACTTTATGTTACAGTGAGCACTATTTTATCATCTCCTTTTTTCAGGTAGCTAACCAAGTATTTTCTCCTGGCTTGTGATTTTTCTCTTTATTTATAGCTATTGAATGAATTTTGTATTAATAAATTGAAAATTCAAGAAAGCATAGCAAAGCATTCCATACTAATCTATGAAACATTTCATTCAAATAAGGAATAATGCGATAATTTGGAAAAAAATTACTAGTAAATTTTTTTGATTGAATTACAGAACATAGAATGAAAAGAATTGCAGAGGAACTGCAACTCAAGATGCAAATTTTATTTTAAAATGAACTTACCAGAATTTTTGCATGCATTTATAATAATTCAAATTTTCCCATGCCACAAATGTGAAGAAATATGGATATCAATACAGATATTGGACTTGAATTATTCAGTTAGCTAATTCATTAGATGAGAAGTGGTCATCAGATATGTTTTATTTTTCTGTAATGAAATTACATTTGCACACATTTGTTTTGCCTTTTTGTTAAGATTCCAGATGCAACATCAAGGAATCATGTAGCTAATGTATTTGTGTTTTCCACAGCTTCAATATCTCATCCCTACTGGCAAAAGGAACAGCCAGTATCACAATGTTAGAAAAAAATCACTGAAACAGAATTATTTGCCGCTTTATCTTATTTTGTCAATTAAAATACTTTGATTGGTTTGAAATTGCTTTAAATTATTATGCCCAAATTGTAATTTAAAAAGTAAAATTGGCTGATTGATAGAAAATATATTTTCTGTTTCAAATTAAACTTACATTTCAAAAATAAAATAACCGTTTGTCACAATGTGAGCCACATATATTAGTATCATAATCTTTTTTTAAAATTATGTAGTGCAGGGGTTCTCAAACTTTTCAAATTTTGTACCACATAAATATGAAACAAAAATATGCGTACCACGATAAAAGCATTTCACTATTGAAAATCAATGCATCTTAAGTGGAGTGTAACAGATCAAATAATAAAACCCTTAAAATTTATATTATTTAATTATATTCATTAAATGAAACTTTTACATTACAATAAAGTATAAACAAGTATATATATAACAAGTGTGGTAAATAGTGAGTAATAATACATATATTAAGCAAATAATATTGTATAAAGCAAAGAAGACACCTGAGTCATAGGGCCAGCATTGACAAGATACATATAAAAAATATATACATTCTATCTTTTTGGCATTTTAGATATTACAAGGTTTAAAGAAATGGTGAATGTTGTAAAATTTAGTTAGTTTTCATTTAATTGAAGCACATGATTAAACATACTTACCAAGTTTTCTGGTTAAGGTGTAAAATAAATTATTAAAATAAGCCAGCCAAGAATATAAAATGCAGTAGTGCACCTGAACAATGTTATTTAACTATACTCATAATATTAACAAGTATAAATGACTTAATCCTAAACAAAGAAAAAAAATAGAATTATAATCATATGAAACACTGTCAAGTAGACAAACTAAATGTTGAACACATGTCAAATTTAAGATGAGTGTATAAGATGAGATTCTTGGGACTGTAAAAATGTTAGGTTAAATGTCAGTGAGGTATTATGTTTGCTTTGTAGCACTGTAAGATTGATTAATGCGACAAATGAGCCTGTTTTATTGAAATCAGTTTAGATGTGTCAGGTTTATTTATTGTTGATTAATAGCACAACAATGCAACGTTAGTCTGAACCCCGTTTAGCTATCAAAGGGAGAGGATGGGGAAAAACCGAACTGGGAACTGTTTGAAGCTCTTGGAAAAGTCGTTATTTCAACATATTAAAGCTAGAGCCGTAAAAGGTAAAAACTTGAAAAATATATGTGTTCCTGAATAAAAAAGATTAAAACAAAATGTTAAAAGTGAAGCAATTGTACGTTCATTTTGAACATTCAACTTTTTTTCTGTAAAAATTGTACCACTAGAAATCTTAATAATGTACTACAGTTTGAGAACTGGTGATGTAGTGTGATGTGGCTAACATCTTTTAATCTTTAGAATGAAGTTATCAAAACATAAAATGTCGGAAACACTTTTCAAGTGGTGAAAAATGAAAATTTTTAAACAATTGTTCTTTATCAGAAAATGTTTATTTTTATTTATCTTTGATAAGCATTCCGAGTAATATTGTGTTTCCTTCTGTTTTGTAGGAGAATCTAGATTTCAGAGCTCCATACATTTCTATGAACATGGACGATGACTTTCCTCTGATCAGCCCGTCAAGTTCTGTGATGTGGGGACCACAAGAACCTGCTCCTAAAAAACTTCCTCAAGAGAGGTATGAATATCAAATTGGTTATAACCACAACTATTGAAAGAATAATAAAGTACTTTTTAAAAATTAAATCCAAGCTAATACATCTGATAAGTAATGTTGGTGCTAACAATAAAATATAGTTTTTTTAACATGTATATCTCAAAATCCATGCTTATTCCATCATAAATAAGTAAAATCAGATAATATTATTAAGATCATGATTTATTTATCTATTTTAATGTGTTTATTTTTTTCATCTTTTAAAAACAGTTTTTCCCCTCTAATATATTTACTCAAGAGCACTAATCCAAAAGGGCCCTGCCCCCTGGATTAATGCTATTGAGCATGGACATTTAACCTTGTCGTCTCAAAGTGCATGCAGGCTGACTACGTTTTTATTTTATTTTATTTTTGTCCCGCGGCCTGAAATTTAGAGGTTGGTTTCTGTTGATTGCACTTGGCTGTGTGGGGTTTTCATGGTTTTCTCTACTACTTTTCATGAGTTTCACTTAAAAAGTCTTTCACAAAGGCAGAAAGCCTTATTAATTTTCATCCTTTCAATTAAAATTATGGTGCTAATGTAAGCGTTACTGTTTAAATATATAATTATGCAACTAGTAAACATATTTGTGTATTTCTTTATTAATATTGAGAAAACAGTATGCATTTAGAGAATTTGAAGGTGATTTGAAGTTAATATTTCCCAAAACTATAATTCTGCTTCTTGTGGTCATAATTTCTGTGTACAGTCATACATAAAAATTTTACAAATTACCTTTAATTTTATGTTAAAAAATAGTTGATTTGAAGGGTCCAATAAAAATATTATTTTGTTAGAAGACTTTGATAATTTTTAAAGTAAGTCAATTTAATTATGAATGATTTTTCTAATTTTGGGAAAAAAATCAGCTAAAAGCAATGATTTGTTTATCCATAATGCACTACGTACAATTTAGTGTAAATGATGAAAAAGCTGTCTTATTCAAAATAGCGTAATATCTGGAACATAACATATACAAATATTATACAAAGTAGTATTGAGCAAATACAATAATACTGAGGATAGCAAATGAAATATCAATAAAATATATATCAAATTAAATGTACATAACATATGCAAATGCTATACAAATCGGTATTGAGCAATACAATAATACTGAGGATATAAAATTAAATATACAATAAAATGTCATTATCATAAACTGTTTAGTAGTAAAAATATATTATTGACTTTTAAATTGTATTATATTTCTGGCATGTTTTAAGATTTTGCACGTGCCTAACCCTTGAAGCTAAACATAGAAACTTCCATTCTTATATTGTGCCATTTTTTTTTTTTTTTATTTTGCTCAGAAGTTAGTGTTTTAATTGGAACTGTGTGATTGTGGATTCTGGGTAGAAATTATTACAACTGAGAGATGCAGGATTTACAGCTTGTGTAGCTTGCTCCCACTTTCTTGGGGGCCTGCCAAAAAATTAAAATAATAGTATAAATATAGTATTAAAATAACAGACTTATAAAGGGCCCCATATCTCAAATAGCTTAGGGCCTTATAAAGTCTAAATCCAGCTCTGCAACGGAGTTGTTTCTTACTGGGAAATTTGTTTGCCGACGCACACACCCAAAAAAAGGGAAGTAAAATTATTTCCTTTATGAAAATTTACTATAGAGTTTTATGTTAAAACACTTTAGAATTATGGCCCAGTTTTCTATAAGCTAGATTAGATTTCAAATTCTAGTTTAGATACAGTTATGTATAGAAATTTTATAGAGATATCTGTAGATGTTCTGTAGCATTTTTGTGCGAAGATATAAACATTTGTACACAGTTTCTCCTATGTGTAGAATCGTACATTATATGTACAGAATCATCTAATCAGTTTCCTTACTTTTCTATAAAAGATTGTGTAGAAGCTTAAAGCATTATAAAATCAACAAAATTCTCAATTTAAAAAAAAAAAAAAAAAAAAAAAAAAAAAAAAATATATTATTATTATTATTTTATTTAATTTTTGAAATTATCTGTTACAGACGGGGGGGAGGATAAAAACTTTCAGATTTTTTCTAATACAAATTTTATTGTTGTTTTAATTTTAAACATATTTAAATATAAAAATACATTTAATTAAGTTTAATTAAAATTAAGAAACCATTTCTTTTATAACATGTACAATAATCAAAAGCATTCTTTTCAGGAATTAAAATTTTATAAAAAATACCAGCATAAATTCATTCTTACAATTAATTTTATGATGTAAATTCATTTTTCACATCTAGAAAATTTAATTTTTGGAGTATGTAAACAGTATTATATAAAAAGATTGCATTATATGTTATATAAATTCAGGAGCTAAAAAATGTTAAGCTAGAGAATAAAGGACAAAAATTTCTATTAAAAAATTATTTAACTCCTATGAATAAAGTGTTTAGTTTTGCTTTTCTTTATCCTATGTAGGATAATAAAAGCTGAAAATGTGTTTATAAAAACTTGTAAAATATTTTGAAGGTTTCTATATGATTTTGCAAAGCAACATTACCTATAGAATTCTGTTCTGTGAAAGCCATATAAAATTTTAAAGAAAAGCTCATCTGTTTATCTACAGAGCTATTACAGCCTCTGTTAAAACACTTTTCTAAGGATTTACCTAATCTGGATTTTTTTTTAACAGGCTCCCAGAAATTGAGCCCCAACGGATTTCACCTCCAAAGCAAAAACCTGTAACAGAAAACCTTAACTCCAGCCTTGCTGCGTTGTTGCAATCTGATGTCAAGAAGACACCCCAAAGCAAACAAGAAAAGAATGCAGTGGCACGGAGAGAAAGTAACTCGCACAAACGATGGTCAGGGTCCTCTGCAGACAACAACAAATCCAGTTCTCTGAAACAGAGACCCTTCAACCCATCAAAGGGATACGGAAATGGTGGACACATCATCATGCTTGATAGCATACCAGTCAAGAAACAAAACAGCAAATCTAATGCATCCCAGCGTCGCACTGCCCAACCCTCAGCGAGCGACCGCCGATCGAATTCTCCTCCTTTCGGCTCTCACACTGCCACAGTTAAAGTGAATGACCGACTGATTAAGGTACAAGTGTCTGTGTCAGAACTACCCACATCACCCATTGAGCACAAACAGCCATTTCCATCTCCTCCAGATCCTCCACCAAAGCGAACGAGTCCTTCCCGCCTGGGGCCGACAGAGAGTCCGAAACGTCTGAAAGTTGACAACGGACTCATCTGCTCAGGTACTGACATAAACTTTTAACACTTTTTAGTGGAATTACCATTGTTTCTGTTGCAAAATTCATTTAGAAAGGCTTTATATGAAGTTTAATTCTGTAGTCATCAAGATCTGCATCAAACTGCTGAACCTTCCAGATAGTCAAGCTTTTAATGTACAAACAAATATTATGTACTTTGCAAAATTAATAAAATGGAGAGGTCATCTCATATCAGATTTCCTACTTTATGATATAGATTCATAATGTTAGGAAGTTAAGCTTTACTCAAAAACATATTTGTGTGTTTGAATTTGAATTTGTGTACGAGCCACTGACTTCACATTATTTGAGTCTTAATAATAATAATTTAAATTAAATGTCTCATGATTATTAAAAAATGTAATATGAAAAAGATTAGAAGTTGCTTCTTTGCACCTTGCCCATAAAAGTCTTCACCAGTCTTAAGCCCACCAGCAGCTGAATGCTAAAAATTGCTGAACACTGGTAGTTCGGTCTGGGGTTCAAATCCTGGTCGACGGGCTGGCTGCATCGAAGTTTTCACAGTTTTTTTTCCATGTGTAACATGTGTACAAGCCAGTTCTCCATAGAGAAGTGCTCAGAAAAGTCATCCCTCTCTGTATGCAGTTAGTCCTCAAGTATTTGCCATATTTAAATAACCCAAACCATCTATCTTTATGGGCTCTTTATTTTTGCAGCTGTTGGTCCTAGTTTCAATGTGCAAAGATTCATGCTTTGGAAATTTCAAATTTTAAAACATTGGTTTTGGAAAAATTATGGAATCTTAATTTTTTACGTGGCATATTTAGGGAAAATTATATGCATTATAAAAAGTACAATAGAAAAAAGTTTGACTCCTGTGCAACAAAAATTAAATTAGATATGTAATTTCCAAATTAGTGAATTTCAATGAAATTCCCCACTTTTTTTTAAAAAAATAAATTGGAATAAATCATGATTGATCTTTTTCCTCTTAAATGCCACTCTTTGATATTCTTTTGTTATTTACTAGTGTGCAACACATTCTTTTAATTTATAATTTTATTTCATGGCTTAAGAATTTTCACATGAAAAATTTATAAGTTTTGAAATGTTAGAAATATTTTATTTATTCTCATTTATTTTACTACTTTAGAATCCTGATTTAAAAATAATACAAAAACATTCATTAATCTAGAAATATTTCTTATTTCTGCAAATAATGTTATGAGTTGCTAACAGGACAGTACTGAAGCTTGCCAGTATTTTTTCATAATATGCATAAAAGTGATCCTCACTTAAGTTATTTTTTCCTATAAGCTTGTACAGTCAAAAGTCTTTAATCTGGAATGATCTATAATCCGGACCTCAAAGCTACAAACTTTCTGCACATGCGTCAACGCATTTATGCATTGATGCATGCACATATTCATTTACGCACGCACATAATACGTTGACGTATGCACGTTTAATGTATAATGGACGGTATAAACTAAGCTAAAATTATCTAATAATCTATTTGAGTTAATGTTGCAGATTGCGTTGTTCCTTAATCTTCTAATTGGATCCTGCTTATTTTTTACAGACTGTTAGAGCAATTTTATAAAAGTAAGCTTGAACTTTCGATTATGTCAAAAAGAATTTCCGTTTCTGGAGCTGCCAAAGAATCTACAAAGCAAAAGTATGTTTCGATGTCCATCAAACAAAAAGTGGAATTGCTGCAAAAAATGGATAAAGGCATATCCTTTGTTTCTCTAACCATTCCGAAATTTGTTTATCAATTTCATGCTGCTCTGCCGGGGAGAGGGGGGAAACGTCGCGGCGTGCAATGAACTGGAAGTTGATCTGTCAGCACTATCCTTATCTTCAGGGCAGATGTTTTTATTTTATTTGGCTTATAATTCCTTACTAAATGTAGTATTTCATCTCGATGTACTCTGTCTTTAATATGATTTAAATCAAATTCCTCATCATTATAAATATCACGAATACACATCAAATAGTTTTCTGGTTGCAATTTTCTAATTTTGACTATGCATAATGTATGCTTTACATGCCATCTTACGAGATTTAAACTGATGATCTATAATCCGGAATCGCCGAAGTCCCTGTGAGTCCAGATTAAAGACTTTTGACTGTATTTTATTGGTAATCAAGTACAAATGCGCAAACACTTCAGTCTATGTGCACGATTCCTAGTATAATGAGTATAATTTTTTCAAATATACTCTTGATAGGAAAAGCATATATAATTTGTAAGTTTTAACAAAAATGATTTTTTGTTAATTTATGTATATATAGACAATAAAAAATGTACATATGTATAAATAACCTTGAATTTCATAGGTTTTTCTAATCATGTTAGGTGTTATTAAGGAAAAGGAAAAGCATTGAGTGTGGTTCAGTATATTTTAAAGTAGTTGTATGCAAACAGATTATTTTATTTTGCTTTCATATTAAATTCTTTTTATTTTTAGTCTATAAAAATCTACTTTGCCCTAAAGGCTTACAATATTGTATTGGTATTGTATCCTGAATTTAAATCACTAAAAATTTTAAGAGGGTGACTTCACATAAATTGAGTGGCAGGAGTGGCAAAATAAAATCTTAAGGCAAGTTTATGTTTCTTCGAGTGTCTTTCCGCGAGCTCCTCGTTTCGGCGTTTCGATGTAAGTGAACGGATCTGTAATCTGATAAATTATTTATATTGATCAGAGCCAAGCTGAAACTCACCTCCATTTTTTTGCAAAATAGATACCAATGAAGGAAAAAAAGAAATCAATATGAGACCTGGGTATTGTGAATTGGGAGTATTAAATCAACTTTTAAATGAACTTTGGGGTGAGAATATCCAAAGTTAAAAAATCTTCATTAGAATGGGTGAAGGATAATTTCAAACTTCATTGGAAATGGTCACTCCACTTATTCAGAAAAAAAAAGTTCTTTCAAGATGTTTTGCCATCAAAATTAAAATGCACATAGTGCTTCCTTAATTGAAAACTGTGTTTTATTGGGTGGTCGAATAACATATTGTTACGTTATTTTTTTCTTAATTTACATTCATACGTTACGAGTTCATGCGGATTTGGAGTGAATAACAACGACACTACTTAATGAAGTATTGAAACACATTTATGTTGGCCAGTATTCTCAAGACAGCTCCAAAATCACGTTTTTATATTCGTCAAAGAACTACTACAAGCACGCTGAATCAATCAGTGACACAGCTATAGCGGTGAAGACAGCTTCACGGTAAAGCACTAGAGTACAGCGCTCAACTCTGCTGGGTCGTTCTCGGAACTCCATGTACTCTCGAGACTCTCCACGCTAAACTGATGATGCACTAGAGTACAGTTCCCAACTCCAGTCGTTTCCGGAGCTTAACACACTCTAAGACCAAAACTCAATGATGCACTAACTGCGATACACTAAGAGACTCTTTCGGTGCACTCGACGACCAACTCGGCACTCACTGACTGATTATCAACTCGATGGACTCCGCATGGACTAACTCTCCGCTTACCAGCAGGGTTTATGCTCAATTTAAAACCATTTTGCGCTATTGCTATTGAACTGAATTTTATTGTTTAAATGCGAAGAACATGATATTTTATAAATGAAGGTATCTTTTTTTAAAATTTAGTTTTTTTAATTGTGTTTTGATTAAAGAAAATTCAGAAATAAATATTTTGAATCCGATATCCTAATTTAATTTTCTTGTATGCTTTTTCTACAATATCAGAAACCTATATTCATTCTGATGAGTAGTTATATCCACGTTATATTTAGGATTGGATTGGATTATTCAATTACGGCAAAGCACACGAGGGCTATCTGCCTAAAGGAAGGGATGCCTTCGTGGAGGACTTTCTAAGGGAAACTGGCTCGTATACACGTTACACATGGGGGGAAAACCATGAAAACACCCATGCAGCCAGCCCGTTCACGGGATTCGAACCTCGGACCGAACTACCAGTCTTTACCGCTCGGCCGCTGGTGGGCCCCGTTATATTTAGGTATTAGTAAACAATGGCCATACTATTCAGGTAGAGAAGTAGCCCATAATACTTCACAAGATGCATTATGCATTAAAAAATGCCATGGTTAGATTATTGCTGCATCTCAGCATTTTCAACATGACGGAAAAATTGGGCACGCCTAATCTGCAAACACTACGCAGAGTTACTGCCCAGATAGATTTTCAGTTGGTTCAAAGTAGAAATGGAATCGCTGACTCATTTCCCCTACATTTCTACGAAGTGAGTGTTTACATTGTCAAACAAGTCGTAATAAGAGACTCGCTGCGGGTATCTCAGAGAGGTGTAAACTGTCCTCTAAACATAGTAAACTTTGGCATTGAAAAAAATTAAAATAATTTCTTTTTGCATGTTTTAAAATTAATTTAGTTTTAAAAACAATTTTAAGCATCTAAAATATATTAAAGTAGAACAGCATATTTAAATCTCATGGAGATAACTATAGATACAGCAGAATTTTTATTTATTTTTAAAAAAAGTTTTATTTTTCTTATTTCAAATCTTATGGCAGTGTTCCTTGGTGCTTGGAAATTTAGACTTGAGTTGAAATGATCATTTTAAATAATGTATTTATATATTGAATTCCAATTATATGCAACAAATTTTAACAAATGATTGACATTTTTGCAGGCCCTCAAGGTTTTGCCTCTGATAGTGTTTTGTTAAACCTTCTAATCAGCGGAGAAGATGCCAGTCGTGGTTACCTCTGTTCGGGTAACAGTCGGTACTCTGACAGCAAGGTGAGAATATTTATGTTTCTCATGTTTTCGACAAGAAAAATTAGTAACTTTATAAAATTATCGACAATGAAATGTGTGTATTACTACTAACAATGAATACATTTACAGTTTACATTATATAGTGAATTAATTTATTTTACCTTGGCCGTATTGGAAATGACGATTTATTTTGTCATAGATTTTATGCAGTGACAGGGTCTGTACAATCTTTAAAATTTTTGGAATCAATTTTTGGTCCTTAAAAGTCCTTAATTTTGGCCAATATCAGCAGAAGGTCCTTAATTTTAATCATCTGAAATTTCTGTCTGTTTTTACTGCTGCCATTTTGAGTGTGAATTAGAATTTTAGAGGAATATTTATGGTGATTCACTGACATATATGGTTATCTTTTGAAAGGGTTCATGGGTTATAATTTGTGTCTATTTCTAATATAAATAATGAGATACTCGAGTTTCTAAGCAAGAAGTGAAACATAAGCATTTCGAAATCCATTTTTTCTAATAAAGAGCTCTTAAACAACTTTTTGCTTTTGGGGATGTGAATTCTTTTATTAAACGGTTCTAAATTTGGCGACTTGTCAACATTTTGGCACATTTTCTGTAAAATATTTTTCATTTCTAGATCTCAGAATTTATCGACGATTTTTTTAAACCATCATAACATTGATAAATTTCATTAAAATAATGGTAATACATTGAATTATATTTAAAAAATAACGTTAAACTAAAACATTTTTATTTTTCACTGTCATATTATAAAGTTTCATTTTGGCAACTTATTATACAACATTTTGAATCTGAAAAATAAACAAGGTATAATGCTATAAAGCATAATTTATGAGACAGCTCTTAGCAAAAGCAAAATTAGCTGTGTAATTAATTAAAAGTCTTCTTTTTAATTTTTTCATAGTAAGCGTTTTTCCTATGTAATTAACTCAGAATAATCAAAATTCTCAAAAAATGCATCAGTTTTCTCTAAAATTAATTTTACACTTTTTCCCCTCCTCCTTTTTTTTTTTTTTTTTTTTTTTTTTTTTTTTGTCCCCAAAAAAATATTTTTGGCTTTTTGCTGTTACAGAATTGGTAGGGATAATTTTTCTTTAGTATTTTAAACATTGCAGCTTGGAAAGTTTAGAAGGATTTGAAAGCAAGATTTATAGACCCACAATTCTAGATTTGAGAAATATGTGACAAAATGAAAAATGTCTCCATGATATCAACACGTAATGGATGTATTTTACAGAAAGTTTGCGATGAATTTCTTACTTTTTGGAGAATGTTTGGAAGAACAATGAAAACCTAATATTTGAATGTTTTACTTCTGATACTAGAATCTATTTCTTAACATGTTTATCTTTCCTTTATTTTCTCTACTTTGCACTAGACTCAAGCATGGAAAATATCAAAAATGCTTCTAATCATATCACATTTTTTATTAATAAAGAAATTGAAAACTTATTTAAAAGATTCATCTAAATATGTCTTAATGCATCATACACAGAGCTGACAGGCATTTTCCCACCTTATGCAATCTCTGTGTATCCTAAATTCTGCTTTCAGTGCCTGCTCTAAATTCTAAAAGTTTTGCCATTTCTGGATTTTGTTGTTCAGTGTGTCACTAAATTCTAAAAATCTGCCATACCAGTTCTGTAACCAGCCTTTACTATATGTTCATATTACTAAATAAATAAAATCAGCCTCTTTTTATATACATTCTAAATGCATTTAGTGTTTTTTAGAACAACAGAAATCCTTAATTAAATCCAAAAATTCTAAAATGAAAAGGAAACATGTTGAGGTAAGAATAAAAATTATTTTTCAAACATATGTGTAGTTACTATGTAAATTACCCAATTGTTTATGATGTCAGCCTTTATTAAAATTTCTCATTTCCTCATATGATAGAGTTACTGAGCGAGATTAAATTAAAATTAAATTGTATAATCTTTTGCCTCTAGTCCACATTTTTAGTTTGAATTTGACTGTTCTTATTTATTTAAGTCACCATAAGCTGTAATTAATTTTGTTAACGTCAGAACATGCCTTTATGTTCTAAGTTCTTTTTTAAATAAGAGGCTTCTTTAAACCTTTGTCTGATATTGTAGCTACTTTCAGACATAGCGATAATTTGCTTTACGTTTGTTGGGGGTTTGGGACTATTTAACTTTACCAGATCAAGCAAACCCTCATAGGTACATTTTGGAGAGGTTGACAAATTAGGAGATAAAGCACACAGAAGCTAGCAAGAGTGTTAGCTTGCATATTGAGACAAATCTCTAATTGTTAGAAAAGATACTTAAAGAGAAGGAAATCGATATAAACTAGCCAAAATGTTTGGGAAGGCTTCAAATTAAAATGACGAATAAATATTAAGTGTTGTTGTTACAAAACATTTATGTTTTGCAGCTTTTAATGTGTTATTATCCTAATATCATTTAAGAATAAATGTCATAAATTGCATGTATTTTAAACTGTGAAATTTAGTTTGATTTTGATTTTAATAGGACAAATATTGTTAAAAAAAATTTTAATAGTGGCCATGTAAATCCATAATGACTAAGGTTACCTAATTACCTAATTTAATTTTTTATAGCTAACTGCTTATCCTGAAAAATTATCTCTACATATTAAAGTGAGTTATTGCCTCTCATTAATACTCACTGTGGTCACAAGATAAAACACATAAATGTAAAAATTCAAGTAAAACTTTTTATTTGCATCTAGTGGGACTTAAAATAATACAAAACAACTTATCACCTCTGATGCTTTAATTTCTTATTGGAGCCTTAAAGTATATTAACTGGGTTACAACCCCTGGAACTCTACACCAAGCTATGACACTAATTTCATCAAACAGAGCCTGAGTAACTTTCAACACTTCCCAACTGTGCCTACATCACCTTTCAGGTTTGTTCTAATTCTCTCTCTAGACAAGCAGGAGTGGGACAACCATTTTAACCTATGCCGGTTGCCATAAAATGTACCTGCTATTTATAAACCGTTAGACTGAAAGTCTGTGACAAATTGAGACATAAAAAATCAACATAAAGCTAACTATTACTAAAACATAAATGTCGCTTATCTTCTTTCAAATATGTCCAACTATTATAAGTGTAAGATATTTAATGCTACTTGATAAATTGCATAAAGTTTATTTTAATACTTATGTTAATTAATTCATGTTTACTAATGATGCATATTACTAAGGGATTTATTTTATTTTTAAGATGGTATTACAAAAGTGAAATTCAAGCATAGAATAATATATTTAATTGAATTTATTTCATTGCTCCAAATTTTGCATCAAAAATTAAGCTCCTTAAAAGTCCTTAATTTCCATATGCAGAAATGTGTACGAGTGAGTGTACAGTGAGTGAACCACTGTAAATTGAATAGAATTTATTAAAGTAATATTTTTCCATTTTTGTTAAGTGGTGCAAATTGTATGTAGATTTATTAATTTATATATATACTTTTTAATTTGCTATACAAGTACTTGCAGATCCACACTAATATATATTTGGAGTATCAGACCAACAGTACACACAATACCAGTTTCAAGCTTTGAAGTACTCATTAATGAAACAAACCTTGGAGTGGCATGACTGCCTTAATCTTCTAATTGAATTCGGCTAATGAGGATGATTATATTAGCATGCGGCCAAGTTCAAGTCCTGAATGAAATCACGCCTACCCTGTATATTGATCAACATCTGTTGTCACTTTTTCACCACAAATGAAAGCAACAATTATAAAAAAAAAATAAAAAGAATCCCATCAGTGTTGATAGGTCCGTGGTTCGATTTGAGAGAGCGTGTTGAGCTCCGGGTGGCAAATAGAGAGCGATGGTGAGGTTTCTCTTGCAGAATCCTCCATGAAGGCATCCGAAGATCCGAGCCCATCCTCACCGCCGATGATGCGGGAAACAAAGACCTCTGTGTCACTTTCTTCACGCATTTCTTCTTCAAAGAATGTGGGAGAATAGATGGTAAATTGAGTGAATGAGCTTTGCAAAATAAAAACACTTGATTTTTTAGCATGAATTGAAATTCTCAAAGCTGTAAGCCATGCCATGCCAGATCAAGATAATGAATGTTAAATGATGAATGTATATGATGAAAACCAGGGGTGGCCCAAGAGCGATGCGTAGTGCCGGGAGAAAATTATGCCGCATGTGCATGACATCATGTGAGTGACAGTCGTTAGTTCTTGGCGTATGATTACATTTGTTGCATCAACAGTTTCATTTGATTTGTGTTGTTGATTTGCTATTATACCTGGTCAGAAATTGCAAATTATGCTGTATCATTATGTCAGAATTTAGAAGGAAAACTAGAAGTCAGGGTATCACATATCATTGTTTTCCAAGTAATCCAGAACTTCATAAGTTATAGATTGTTCACTGCAAAAAAAGCAGATCATTCCAACATCAAAAATGCAAGAATATGTGCTGTCATTTTATACCTGATGACTACGTATGGAATCTAAATGCAGAATTGCCTGGTTCAACTTCTAAAAAGGTGCTGCAAGCCAATGCTGTTCTCACTTTACATCTTACATCATCATCGTGTGAAAATAACTCACCAATACATTATATATGTTGCTTCAGAAAACATAAGTTAGTCTGGAGAGAAATATTTCTGACATGAATGATTCATCCAAATTTATGCTAAAAAGAGATACAGCAAGCAGATGTCAGGCTCGCGAAACAAGGAAACGAGCATTGGAAAATTCAGCTTCCCTTTCCCCAAAAAAGAAAAGGCTATAAACTGATAAGATAGACTGTGAAATTCAGTTTACACCCAGTGACACATTTGAGTTAATCATTACAACCAGAGACAGCAGTAGCTGGACTGCTAGTTAGTACACTGCTGTATGCTTATTTTTTTAATGAATTTATGTAGTTTTTATACATAACTGTGATCGAGTAGATTAGTATATGTAATTGTACATTTATAGGTCATTTTACTAATATTTTACATTTAAATTAATTTTTTTTTC